CGGCCACTGCACTCCAGTCTGAGTGACAGAGTGAGACTCCAACTCAAAAAAAAAAGAAAGTTGGTATGAGGCATTACCACTTAAAGAGGAACCAGAGTTTCTGCCCAACTGTCAACTGTGATAAATTGTGGACTTGGTCAGTAAGCAGACAAGAGTGAATGCTGCTAAAAACAAGACAGGAAGGCTCCCATCATTATTGTGGTGTAACTGGGCTACTACAAAGTTCTGGGAAAGGGAAAGTTCCCAAAGCAGCCAGTCATTGTGAAGCCCAAATTCTTCAGCAGAAGAGCTGAGGAGAAGATTAAGGGTGTGGGGGGAGCCTGTGTCCTGATGGCTTTTAGCCACATGGAGGAAGGTTCAAATGTTAACAAATGCTTAAAAAAAAAAAAAGAAAAAGTTGAGCTTTAAGTTGAATTTCAAGAGAAAGTTTAGCTAATATGTAGCCAAGAACCACTCCCTTCAGGTTCAATCCCAAATGAGGAAGAAAAGCTAAAACTCAATAAAACAAAAAGAAAACTGGGTATTTAAAAGATTCACCCAACTACCACACAGAAAAGGAGTGAAATCTGCTACACAAAAATGTGTAAAGAAAAGGCAACAAAAATATTATTCAGAGGACTTATTTTTTTATAAAGAGGGCAGTTAAATTCTTCAGTTCATTTTCAAAATAACTGAGAGTCACTCTATGCTGCATTCATGAACAATGAGGTAAACACATTTCTTACATTTTATAAAACCCAAGAAATTTATCCCTGCATGTCAGCAAAAAAACCATTCAAAATTTTAATTTATCATTTAACACAATATGTTTTCCCAACATATTTACAAATTTAGTGGTTTATCATGTGGATCAGTGTTGGAATTTTACCCACAGATAGTGCTATATTCAAATAGTAAAACATTTTCCAAATTAGTTACTTTTTATACTAACAAAATTCATTTTGCTTTTTTCTCCTTAACTAAAAAAGACAGTCATTTTTGTTTTCAGTTTCTCATAGCAATTCACTTTCATATAGTCTGTCCCTAAAAATGAGAACATGATTAAACCTGAACACTGACAAGAAAGGCAGTTATTGCCGGGCTCGGTGGCTCAGCCTGTAATCCCGTGCCTTTGGGAGGCTGAGGTGAGTGGATTGCCTGTGCCCGCGGGTTCGAGACCCACCTGGGCAGCGAGACCTCATCTCTACAATAAATCAAAAAATCAGCCGGGCGTGGTAGCGCATGCCTGTAATTCCGGCTACTCGGAAGGCTGAGGCGGAAGGATCGCCAGAGCCCAGCAGGCGAGGCTGCGGTGGCCGGGAGCGGCTACCGCACTCCAGTCTGGGTGACAGAGTGAGACTCCAACTCAAAAAAAAAAGAAAGGCAGTTATTGATGTATCATCGTTGTAACCTCTTTTTGTTGAGTCATTATCTGTTTTTAATTTGTTCGGAAATTGTTTCCTCAATTTAAAAAATACAAATGAAATACCATGCAATCTCCACACAGAAATCACAAGTTTAGGGCTGACAATTGCCTGGTATGGCTTTAGTTGCATACTTCTGAAAATCAAAGAGAAGAGTTCTGGTGTGCCTGCATGTTCACCAGACTTTAACTAAAGCAAAGCAAAATAAAATAAAATAAAAAACAGGCCAGGCACTGGGCACAGTAGCTTACGCCAATAATCCCAGCACTTTGGGAGTCTGAGGGGAGAAGACTGCCTGAGCCCACAAGTTCGAGACCAGCCTGGGCAATTTGGTGAGACCGCATCTCTACAATAAATCAAGAAAAATTAGCCGGGCATGATGCCTGTAGCTCCAGCTACTTGGAAGGATAAGACGGAAGGATTGCCTGAGCCCAGCAGGTAGAGGCTGCAGTGGCCATGAGTATGCCACTGCACTCCAACCTGGGTGACAGAATGAGACTCTGACTCAAAATAATAATTATAATAATAATAGTAATATATGTCAAACTGTCTTGAGAATGTGTCTGTAGAATATTCACACATAAACAAATAGATATACCAGCAAATTCTGGTGTTTGTTAGTCTATGAAGATACAAGAAGTAGTTAGAGGTGACTATTGAGATGAAGGAACATAGGCAGTGGAACCAAGAGAAGTTTTTCAGGTGGTGAAAACATCCACAGGCCGAGAGAATTTTGGAAGCTGTTTAAGGCTGGAGTAGATCATCAATTTCTCTTTCGAGTCTTCATACTGTATGACTTCATAGAGAAACAATACATAACAAAAACAGTATGATGACCACTTGTATACCTAATCCTGAATCGTACCCCACATCTTTAAAAAAAAAAAAAAGTAATTTCAGGTTAGTGTTCTTTCTCGAACTTTAAACAAATATGAAATGGTACCCATAAGTCCCTCCACCTCCCCAACCTCAACCAAGATGAAACTGAAAATGTGATATGGAATTGGAGACAAATCGTAACACTGCAAGTCAATTAATAATACTTACCGTGTCTGAATTCCCTTCCAGCAATATATTGATAGCTTTGTTCACATCTCCATTACAGTCATGTAGGGCCACGATGCATTCATCCTGATTTTTCCCAGTCACTTCCATAAGCTATTGAACATACCAGAAAATGATCAGAGGGAGTCCAAAAATGGCACTTAATATTAATTTTGAGATTTTTCTTTGCAAATACAGAAATCATGTAATCCTCCTACATGAAGATGGCCTCTTCCAGATTCTTATTTAACATGAGGATACATTTACTTTTTTTGTGTGTGGCTATTCCATGCATGTCCTTCTATGAATACTGGCAGATATCAATCCTCCTCCAAGTTGACCAAGTCAGATTATTCACCAGCAGCACACACATACATATATACCAACACTCTCAGAACACCCAGGATCAGGTATCTGAATACTAAACTTAGTTCAATGGCATGGAATCCCTAAACTTAATATTTAAGTGGAATTATGAGTATCTAGCCACCATTTGCAGAAAATCCAACACAAATGTTTTGCACAGTGACAACATTCCATACATTGGCTATCACTGCTTGGATTAGAATCCTCCTTATACATACTAAATTATAACATCCTAAAGTCTCACAAGTCAAATTCTGCATCCATCATAAAACACACTCAGACATATTATTTTCTCAAGGAGCTTCAATACTGTGCTATGTTTGAAGCAATCAAAGAACTCTCAGTCTATTCTCATTGACAAGAAAGATTAAACTACTTAGCATTTTCATCATTGGAACAATCACTGATTAGGCACAAAGAAGATTTCTCAAGTATCAATGAACAAATCTATGATTTATATACGAGGGGGTGACCCCAAAAAACAGGAATTATTCTTTGGAGGGCAGGTCCCTTATAGTACAGGCTTTCTTGGCTAGGTAAGTATTCTAGGAACCCATTGGCATCAGTGTACCAGTTAGCGTTGCTGTAGAGAGGCTGTGTTCAGCTTCAGTGAATTTTGGAGGGGGAGAGATTCTTTTAAAGCATTTGCCCATTTCATGATGGGTGATTTACAAGCACAGCTGCCCACACAGTGCTGTGTTCAGCAGTTTTTGACCAAAAGCAGCATGACATTCGTGACCCATCCTCCCTATCCACCTGATTGTGCCTACAGTAACTTCCCTGGATGAAAAAAGTTCTCAAAGGGAAACATTTTGCCGATGTGGAAGAGATGAAACAAAAAACGGCATGAGCAGTGGGGAAAGCATCGCAATAGGTGTATTACATCAGGTGGAAAATACCTTGAAGGTGACTGAAGTCTAAACATGGAAGAATAAACATATAGTTTTTAATAAAGAAATTCTGGGGTTTTTGGGGTCCTCCCTCGTGTCTGTTGTGTTGTAACTACATTTAACATGTTTTTTTTTTTAGTTGGCATCTCATCTGTCGCCCAGACTGGAGGGCCATAGCACGCTTGTGGCCATTACAGCCTCAACCTACTGGGCTCAGGAGATCCTTCCACCTCAGCCTTCCAAGTAGCTGGAACCACAGGCACGCACCACCATACCCAGCTAATTTTTTGATTTATTGTAGCAATGAGGTCTCACCAAGTTGCCCAGGTTGGTCTCAAACCTCTGGATTCAGGCAATCCTCTCACCTCCCCCTCCCAAAGTGCTGAGATTACAGGCGTAAGTCACCATGCCAGGCTACTATTTTAATGTGTATTATAGCTCAAGTTCAAAACAGCTTGATCTCAACATTTCAAGAAACTGAATATGGTCACATTAACAGCAAACCCTTCTAGAACCCAGGTCTCTGGATCTCATTATCACAATTTTTTGCTCTATACCAGTTGGCCTCCTTATTGTCATCTTTTCATTTTATCAAGCAGCAAAAGTTCTACCAACTCCACAGCTTTCCAGTGTTTCAGTCTTTGGATATCTACTAATATAAATGTCCAATTTTTATCAATGATCTGCACTAACTGAATACCTGCTACATACAACTGTCAAGATGCACAGTCTGCATCAACATCTCCCCAGTGATTAAATGAGGAAGAAACAGAACTAAAGTTAGAACTTAAATCTCTGAACTCCTGGACCAATGTTCTTTTTTGTGTATCTGCTATGCTATTCCGATAAAAAGCAATATAATATATAGAAGTATGTCTCAAGTTATACACAGATCTCATTCCAAAGAAGGAATTGCATGATTTCTAATAAATCTTTTGTGTGCTTCTAAAAAAAATTACTATTAGTCTAATGTCAGCAACTATAGGTAAGAACAAAGTATCTATATGGTAAATTGCTAAAGATTACACTGTGGGACATTTACTCCAAAGAGTAATTATTAGAAGACATCTACCAAGGGCTAGAGTATCAGGCACTGAGGTCGGGGTTATAGTTTGGTTTCTACAATCTTCATGGGAAAGGAAGTCAGTAAAGAAGGGTTTGAAATGAAGTTTGACTTATCAAAAGGACCTCTTATTAAAGCTCTAAAGGAAGATATTGCCCTAAAGATAATGTTAAATTTTCCTAACTAAAGTTAGGAATCATACGCATGTTTGAAAAGGCAAGTCAGCTCATCCCTAATTAAACATTTCTAGAAGTCGGGCTCGGTGACTCAGCCTGTAATCCCGTGCCTTTGGGAGGCTGAGGTGAGTGAATTGCCTGAGCCCGCGAGTTCAAGACCCGCCTGGGCAACTTGGCGAGACCTCATCTCTACAATAAATCAAAAATTAGCTGGCCATGGTAGCGCACGCCTGTAGTTCCAGCTACTTGGAAGGCTGAGGCGGAAGGATAGCCTGCGCCCAGCAGGTCAAGGCTGCGGTGGCCGGGAGCGGCCACTGCACTCCAGTCTGGGTGACAGAGTGAGACTCCAACTCAAAAAAAAAAAAAAAAAAACATTTCTAGAGAATGCACCAAATGTACTGTTTTCAAATGTTCTACCTTCGTGCACAGGATACAGATATTGTCAGTGTGCTTTCAAAAGTGTCTAGTCCAATGTTGAGCACTGGTAACTCAGAAAGATTCTACTATCACAAGGATGAATTCCTTCATCTCTCCACCGAAAGAGGTATTTAATCACAAGTCCAATTCACAGATATGAGTTGAGACTAAGCAAAAAGTATAATTTAAAACGAAAATCTCTAGTGAAATTATCTTTTTGAGTGCATTAAGAGATCACAAAAATGACAGTATCCTTCGCCAGAAACGAACCTGTATAACTTTAGCTTCAAAATCTGAATCATTCTTATCAAAGATCACCTGAGCAAGACGCATCTGTTCAGCTGTTGCCTGAAAAACAAATAAAACTATTATATATTTGAGCACCAAAAATATAAGGGAGATACCAAAATCTGGAGCACACAGAAAAAGCTATCGAACACTACAGTAAAAAAAATACTAAGCCGGGCTCGGTGGCTCAGCCTGTAATCCCGCGCCTTTGGGAGGCTGAGGTGAGTGGATTGCCTGAGCCCGCGGGTTCGAGACCCGCCTGGGCAGCGAGACCTCATCTCTACAATAAATCAAAAAACCAGCCGGGCGTGGTAGCGCATGCCTGTAATTCCGGCTACTTGGAAGGCTGAGGCAGAAGGACCGCCGGAGCCCAGCAGGTCGAGGCTGCGGTGGCCTGGAGCGGCCACTGCATTCCAGTCTGGACGACAGAGTGAGACTCCAACTCAAAAAAAAATACTAACTGAAAAGACAAATTAGATAGCATAAAGTACCCATTCCTTTGGCCAAATGACCTAAAGTTTTTGTCCATCTTAGACCAGCCATATGGCTTTATTTGAATTTTCTTTCCTTTGGGGAGCAGGGTGGGAAATCACAAAAGAAAGCAGAAAAACAAGTAATGAAAACAACTGCCCAGACACAGACTTGGATCAAGACCTGGTGTTCAAAAAAGCAAAAAGGTTCTGCTGTCAGCTCTAAAAGTGTATCCTGGCCAGTTCTGAAAAGAAAAAGCTGTATTTAGCTAAATAAAACAGTTTTCAAGTTACTCCTTTTTCAACCACAATTGTAAAAAATCTAATTAAAAAAAGAGACAGATGCAGTGACACATGTCATTAGTCCCAGCTACCTGAGCCTAACAGTTCAAGGCTATGATAAGCCATGATTGTGCCACTGCAATCCAGCCTGGGTGACAGAGTGATACACCAACTGAAAATTTAAAAAATAATAAAAATAAATAAATAAAGCTCCAGGTCTTCACATTCAGCTGGGCGTGGTAGTTCATGCCTGTAATCCTAACACTTTGGGAGGCTGAGGTGGGAGGACCAGCCTGGCCAACATAGTGAGACCCCAGCTCTAAAAAAGAAAAAAGAAAAAAAAAAAAATCACAAAAAGTACCCAGGTGTGGTGGGGCATGCCTATAGTCCCAGCTACTTGGGAGGCTTAGGCAGGAGAATCGATGAGCCCAGGAGGTTAAAGCTAGGGTGAGCCATGATTGTGTCACTGCACTCCAATCTGGGCAACAGAGTGAGACCTCAACTCAAAAAAAATTAACATGCAAACAATGAAACCAGTCACTTCTGTTGAAACTCTTTTCCAGTTACTTTTTTTTGGTTGAGTTAGTCTTTCTCTGTCGCCCAGGCTGGAAGGCAGAGGCCCGTTCACTGCCACCATAACCTCAAACTGCTGGGTTAGGCGATCCTGCCGCCTCAGCTTTCCAAGTAGCTGGAACTATAGGCATGTACCACCATGCCCAGCTAATTTTTCTTGATTTATTGTAGAGATGAGTCTCACCAAGTTGCCCAGGTAGTCTCGAACCTGTGGGTTCAGGCAATCCTCCCACCTCAGCCTCCCAAAGTGTTGGGATTATAGGCATGAACCACTGCGGTTGGCCATCCAGTTAGTTACTCAAAACTGTTTTCGTGTTTCGGTAAGAAATATATACTTTTAAGAAATCATTTTTTAAAAAATTAAATTTCGAAGTTTCCTTTTGCTATGTTTTTTTAAAAATTAGAAGTTTTTAAAACAGTTATTCTGTTGTGGAGAGATTTAATAATGTGGCAATTTGGTTTCTTCATTTTGACAACAGTCTCAAGACTATGACAAGGAAATTAGGTGAGGGTATTTAAAAACTCTCTATACCATCTCTGTAGAAATTGTTTGTTTGTTTGTTTATGAGATCAGGATCAGCTGGGTACAGCGGCTCAAGCCTGTAATCCCAGCACTTTGGGAGGTAAAGGGTAAGAGGATTGTTTGAGAACAGCCTGGGCAACTTGGTGAGACCTCGTCTCTACAATAAAACAAAAAACTAGCCGGGTGTGGTGGTGCATGCCTGTGGTTCCAGCTACTTGGAAGGCTGAGGTGGAAAGATCACCTGAGCCCAGCAGGTAGAGGCTGCAGTGGCCATAAGCATGCCACTGCACTCCAGCCTGGTCGACAGAGTGAGACTGTGACTCAAAAAAAAAAACAAAACCAGAATCTTGTTCCCTCTGCTGCCCAGACTGGAGTACAGTGACATAATCACAGTTCACTGATGCTGCAGCCTCAAATTCCTGGGCTCAAGTGATTCTCTCATCTCAGCTTTTCCAGTAGCTAGGAATGTGGGTGTCACTACCATGTGTGAGTTATCTTTTTTTTTTTTATTTTGTAGAGATAGGGGTCTCACTAAATTGCCCAGGCTAGTCTAATATTCCAGGTCTTAAGGGATTCTCCCACCTCAGTCTCCAAAAGCACCGGGATTACAGACATGAGCCACCTTACCTGGCCCAAAATAGTTTTAAGTTGGTCCTTGTTAACTAGTCTATACTAATTCTCAACACAAATATTTAATAAGCTAAACAGTTTACTGAACAATCTGAGAGGGAAAAAGTCACAAGGAACTAATGAATAGCTTTTCTTCTTGGTTTTAATATACATTCATTTCAATTTCTCAACTAAAGTGGGAGTGGGGGTGGTTGGCATTTTTTGAATCATAAAACACTTCTCACAAGACCTTTCTAGCCGATGTGAGTGGGTGATTATACAAACAAATGCTTTGGCCCGAACACCTCAGGTCTATTGGCCTGTTCATTGGAACCTATGTCTGCTATAACTTCAGTTTAATTGCTGCAGTACTGTTACATTACACCCAGAAAGACATGTACAGAAACTCAGTGTCCATTCAAAATTTAACTTCAATCAGGCCATGCATGGTGGTTCACACTTATAATCCTAGCACTTTGGGAGAACAAGGCAGAAGGATTATTTGAACCCAGGAGTTAGAGACCATCCTGGGCAACAATGCAAGACCTTGTCTCTACAAAAAAGTAGAAGAAATTAGCTAGGCATGGTGATGCATGCCTGTAGTCCTAGTTACTCAGAAGCTAAGGAAGAAGGGTCACCTGAACTCAGGAGGTTGAGGCTGCAGTAAACCATGATCATGCCACTGTACTCTAGCCTGGACAACAGAGTGAGACCCTGATCAAAAAAAAAAAAGGCAAGGCACGGTGGCTCATGCCTGTAATACCAACACTTTGAAAGGTTGAGGCAGTAACATAAGTGCTTGGGCACAGGACTTTGAGACCAGCTTGGGCAACATAGTGAGACCTCATCTCTACAAAAAATTAAAAAATTAAAAAATTAGCCAGGCATGCTGGTGTGCGCCTGTAGTCCCAGCTACTCGGGAGGCTGAGATGGAATGATCACCTGAGCCCAGGTGGACAAGGCCACAGTGAGCCATGAATGTACCACTGCACTCCAGCCTGCATGACAGAGTGAGATCTCAACTCAAAAGAGAAAAAATTTTTTTACCTAATACTTTCTAGCATGTTTAGGGTCTTACATATTACATACACTCTTACTATCCCTAAGTCTACACCAGTCAAGCAATCACTTCTTTGCCCATAAGCAACTGAGAAGTCTCAGTGCTATAGCCAAAAAGACCAATAGCATGATAACTAGATGAGATGAGAGAGAAAACCAAAGATGAGCTCTTGAAAGATTAGCACTAGCCGGATTCGGTGGCTCAGCCTGTAATCCCGCGCCTTTGGGAGACTGAGGTGAGTGGGTTGCCTGAGCCCGCAGGTTCGAGACCCGCCTGGGCAACTTGGCGAGACCTCATCTCTATAATAAATAAAAAAATTAGCCCGATGTGGTAGTGCGTGCCTGTAGTTCCAGGTACTTGGAAAGCTGAGGAGGAAGGATCGCCGGAGCCCAACAGGTCGAGGCTGCGGTGGCCGGGAGCGACCACTGCACTCCAGTCTGGGCGACAGAGTGAGACTCCAGCTCAAAAACAAAAAAAGTAGGATTGTAATCCAGGACATACATACAAACCATGGTGGCCCCCAGTATGTCCAAAGAACAAAGAAAGGTGGGGGTTTGGTTGGGTTTGGTGGCTCAGCCTGTAACCACAGCACTTTGGGAGGCCGAGGCCAGTGGACTGCCTGAGCCCACGGGTTCGAGACAAGTCCAGGCACTCTACATCAAATCAAAAAATTAGCTGAGCGAGGTAGCACACACCTGTAGTTCGGCCACCTGGAAGGCTGAGGCAGAAGGATCACTGGAGCCCAGCAGGTAGACAATGGGGTGGCCATGAGTGTGCCATGCATTCCAGTCTGGGCAAAAAAGTGAGACTCTAATTCAAAACAAAAACAAAAAAAGGTGGGAGTTGTATTAGAAAGATAAATGTTCCATATTGTTTTGAAAGAAAACTCATTGGCATCAGTGAAGTTTTAGGAGCTGGCAAGCTCTGATTTCTGAAGCTCTTACTGGTAGTAGGCAAAACTAATCTTAGGATCCATGACAGTTTGTTCCAGCAACCACTAGGTAAAACTGGTCTTAAGGTTACAGCAGGCCAGGCTCGGTGGCTCAGCCTGTAATCCCGCGCCCTTGGGAGGCTGAGGTGAGTGGATTGCCTGAGCCTGCGGGTTCGAGACCCACCTGGACAGCGAGACCTCATCTCTACAATAAAAATCAAAAAGTCAGCCGGGCGTGGTAGCACGCATCTGTAATTCTGGCTACTCGGAAGGCTGAGGCGGAAGGATCGCCGGAGTCCAGCTGGCGAGGCTGTGGTGGCCGGGAGCGGCCACTGCACTCCAGTCTAGGTGACCGAGTGAGACTCCAACTCAAAAAAAAAAAAAAAAAAAAGGTTACAGCAGGTCATTTCTGCAGCTGGCTTACAATATAATTCCTGGGTAGGTACTTTGTGCCCTGAGTGCTTTTTTCCCTCAGTCTCTTGACACTAATTTAGTTGGGTATGATAAAATAACTCTATATAATCAGTTTCCACAGAATTAAAGAGGACCATCAGTGCCTCTGCTGCTAAAGCCTACATGAGTAATTTGCTCATTTTCCACTCTCTGAATCTC